AGAGAGAGAGATAGAGAGAGAGAGCATGTGATATTGCTGACCGAACAATAGTGGCCTAACTGCACAATGTTGCCCTGAGGCAACGAATGAAAAAGTACAATTCCTGTGTATAAATAAAAGTAAAAAAAAATATTTAATCAATCAAATACATTTCTGCACATCAGACATTTTTGTACAAAATTATTTAAATGCAAACATGCTAAAAAGTTACATTTGTTTCACCTTCTGATAGCAGTGTGTCCAAGCCAGCCATGGTCCCACTAAAGGTGGTTCCAACCCCAGACAAAATGTCACATGCTCTCCAAACTCAAATTTCATTGGTCAAAAACTTGTCATCAGACTTTTAATGGGATTTTTTACTAAAAAAATTTTTAAAGGGATTGTGTGAGAGCCAAAATAGTGGTTCGTTGCCTGAGGGCAACACCATGCCATAGATGGTTAGCATTATTTGGCTCAAAAGGCAATCCTTGAAATGTAATTTTTTTCTCTTTTTATGACTGGATTTAGTGTAGTCTTTTTGAAAGTTGACCAATTTCAAGCCAATAAATTTAGTTTGAGTTTTTCAGTTATCAGTTTGGTGTGAAAAGAGCCACAGAGAATCAACTTTAATGATATTTTTCTGTATTATTTTATTTTAAAGTCAAATAATTAGATTTTTAGTAAGGGTTTCATTTTTTTTACTGATTCGTAGAGTGTGTTTCAACTACAGGCGGATCACACTCCCTGGTAAGGTCTATTCAGGGGTCCAGGAGAGGAGGGTCAGTCGGATAGTAGGATTCAGGAAGAGCAGTGTGGTTTCATCCTGGTCATGGAACAACAGATCAGCTCTACACCCTCAGCAGGGTCCTGGAGGGTGCATGGGAGTTCTCGCAACCAGTCTACTTGTGTTTTGTGGACTTAGAGAAGGTGTTTAACTGTGTCCCTTGSGGAGTCCTGTGGGGTACTCCAGGAGCATGGGGAACCAAGCCCTTTGATACAGGCTATTAGACTCCTGTACGACCGGTGTCAGAGTTTGGTCCACTTTGCCGGTAGTAAGTCCTGCTCATTTCCAGTGAGAGTTGGACTCTGCCAAGATTGCCCTTTGTCACTGATTCTGCTTATAACTTCAATGGACAGAATTGCAGTCAAGGTGTTGAGGGGATCCGTTTTGGTGACCTTAGGATCACATTTCTGCTTTTTGTGGATGATGTGGTCCTATTGGCTTCATCAGATTGTGATCTCCAGCTCTCACTGGAGCGGTTAGTAGCAGAGTGAAGTGGCCAGGATGAGGATCTGTGCCTCGAAATCCGAACAAACGAGATTGTGGATACAAGTGGCCGAAATGAGTTTCCTCAACAGGGTGTCTGGGCTCTCCCTTAGAGATAGGGCGATAAGCTCGGTCATCTGGGAGGGACTCAGATAGAGCCGCTGCTCCTCCTCATCGACAGGAGCCAGTTGAGGTGGCTCAGGCATCTGGTCAGAATGCCTCCTGGACGCCTGCCTGGTGAGGGTGTTCCAGGCACTGGGAGGAGACCCAGAGGAAGACYCAGGACACGCTGGAAGGACTATGTTTCTCAGCTAATCTGGGAACGCCTTTGGCTTCTTCCAAAGTARCTGACCCAAGTGGCTGGGGAGAGGGAAGTCTCCCTGCTTAGGCTGCTGCCCTCTTGGCCCGACCCCAGATAAGCAGAAGAAAATGGATGGATGGGTTGAATATATCTCTGAGAAACAATGAAAACGTTGTTGAGAGAAAGTCACAAGAAATTAATGCTGCTGATGTGTCTTTCTAAATCAAACTTAAATTTAACATTTTTCTTGGTTGGTTGGTTGGTTGGTTGGTTGGTTGGTTGGTTGGTTGGTTGGTTGGTTGGTTGGTTGGTTGGTTGGTTGGTTAGTTAGTTAGTTAGTTAGTTAGTTAGTTAGATAATTAACATTTTTTTCAATAAATTTAGACAGAAATTGGCCCTTGGCTTGGGCCAAGTTCTAGATTTTGGCCCCCTTGTGTAACTGAGTTTGAAACCCCTGGTTTAAAAATGCATAACCTAACAGAAAAATTATTAAAAATGACACCTTATTAGCATTCTTATTCTACCAACAACTTTTTCAGTTATTATATCTTAGACATACCTTTTATCACAATTCAGCAAATCAGACTAAAAGGAAAAAAAAGAAAACTCACTAAAAATCTAATCATTTGACTTTACATCACGATGACAATACAGAAAAAGATAAAGTAATTTTTCTGTTGCTCTTTCCACAACAAAATTACAGTTTACTGAAAAATTCAAAATTAATTTTCTTGGGTTGAATGTTGGCCAACTGTCATGAGAAGAATGCACTAAATACAGTAACATAAAGAGAAACCATAAATTTATTTCACATTTAAAGTATTGCCTTTGGGGACAGATGAAATGTTAACGAGGACCAGATTTGGCCTTAGGGCCTTGAGTTTGACACTTATGCCTTACAGCAGTGAGTTGTCCCAAGAGACATAAAACATACAACTCCAATTTCATAAACCTATATTTTGTCCACATAGGAATATTTTAAATGGTAAAACTTAAAATTCATATTTAGGGATATGTTTGTGGCAGCAGTTAGGACAGGCGCAACAAAAGGCTGTGACAGTAGACTATGTGGTATGAATAAGAGATGGAAGAGCATTTTGCAACAAAGTAGGTTAATTGGCAACAGGTCAATAGGGCATAAAGAGAGCATTTTAGAGTTACTGAGAACCCCCCCTCCCCCAGTATACACATGAATGCTCTTCTTGAAGTATTGTTTATTTCATGATGGACTGTCAACACTTTATTTCTGCAGACAATAATGTTGTGATCACAATCTCTGTTTAGATAAGGCCACATGAAATATTGAATATACTGTAGTGTCTATGCCAGGTCACTTGTTGGTGCTGTGATTTTTGTATTTTAACAATATGCACTTCAGTCTCGAAAACAGACTCATTCAGTGTAGSATGTGACAAATGCATGTCAACTGACCTAAAGATGTTGTAACACAGATATGTTCTGTGTCAGAGGCTCTGAGCAGCACAAACAGCCCTCTGCCAGGCAGACGTCCATTAAAAAGGTTTCATTGTCAGAGAAAATAATCGATGTGTACATGACCGACCGAAATGTAACAAAAGTAATCTGGTGTCACTTAAAAACAGCATCAAGTAAACAAAGGCAGAGGTTTACCAGTCTGCCACAAACCACATCTGAAAAAGAGGAACAATTTTAGAATAATGTTCTTCAATGGAAAAACAGAAAGACTTTAGTTTATTATATCAAACAATGTCAAGCATCTAAAGCATTCTCTATGCATAAAGAACGACTGAAGTACTGAATGCATGCGATCTTTAGACCTTCAGGTGACTCAGGTCTAAATCTGTTATCATCCATCTGAAAACTTCCACACAACACTGTGTAAACACAGTTTGTGTTGTCCACAAATGTTGCGTTAAAGCTCTATCATGCAAAGAAGAAGCAATATGCTTAACAGAATTCAAAAATTTAAAAAAGTGATTATTCCACTGTGTTCACCATGTTAATTTGTGCATTTTGTCTTGAGGTTGTAATGAACTTCACTCCTGTTTCTTTCTTCTTTAAAAGACTCTTTCATAAAACAATTCTGCAAACTGGCTGCACAGCTCTTCTCTTTCCCTCCCTGCGCAGATGCAGCCAGCCATGCGCTGGTCAGACGTGACCTTACAGAAATAAAGCGCAGACCAGATGTCATCAAACCAGGCTTTTAGGAGGGTTTTGGAAATAGGTGTCGACCCTTTAAAGCCACCACCAGGCTGAAAAAAATCTTCTGGAGCAACTAGGATGTACTTCTGTGTCCAAATAATATTTCTCTGCCACTTGTTTAAAGCCAGTATCTCACTGTGCTGTGATTGTTGCTGATTCGTCTCAAAATATTTTCTGAGGTTCTCAATTTCCTCATTATTTCTCAGTTTCTTTTCCGTAACTCCAGAACACTAAAACTGCACAGCAGCTCTCTTCTAAGTGAAAACATGCACTATTCTGGCCAAAATGTCCAGGTCTATAACACAGTGTTGATCAATAATAATGAATAAAAACTGGCCCATATTCGTTTATAAGGGGTGGCTGCAAAGCAAGTTAAGGCAGGTAAGATGTTGACAGAACAACAAAATTAGACGAACAGCCTCAAATACAGTTTTGCAAGCTGTGCAAACAAAGATGAGGTGAAATGTGTCAAAAATTGGCAGTGCAGTTTGCAGCCATACAGCTGATTACAAACACTGCAAACTGAGTGCATCTGCAAACGGAAAAAATGTTTAAGGAACCACTGGTTCAGCTAATATGTTGTGTAACAATAGCAATGGTGGAGCAAGAGCATCAAAGTCTTGCTTTAAACAAGGTTACAGGTTACTGACCTGGAGTTAAATGTTGTCCWGGGTGTGTGTGGGCGTGTGTGTGTGTGCTTGTTGCTACAGAGTGAGGACCRTCATATGTTTTTAACCAACAAAAGGAGGACATTTTTGGGAAGTGAGGACGTTTTCCCATTCCTCACTTTTTTTGCAGTTCTACTGTGCTTTACTAGTTAGGTTTAGAGGTATGTTGTGAATTAAGTTTTGGTTCAGGTTAGTGTTAGTAATAAACTAGAAATGGATAGGATTCAGAGAATCTCTGGGTTTGGCATAAATGCAGTCACAAAAATGAATGGAAGTCAATGCTAAGTCTGCAGTTTGATGTAAGTACAGGGATGTGTGTGTGTGTGTGTGTGTGTGTGTGTGTGTGTGTGTGTGTGTGTGTGTGTGTGT